AGCACTCTCTCTCCGTTTGTACTTCGCAAGCGCTCCCCGTCCCCACCCCGCTCGGAACCAGATCGCCAGCATCAGGATTTTACTAAGAGCACACCTGAGTCGTAATAGACGAGTGCACGCCGTTGTGTCTCAGCAAGCACTCTCTCTCCGTTTGTACTTCGCGAGCGCTCCTCGTCCCCACCCCGCTCGGAACCAGATCGCCAGCATCAGGATTTTACTAAGAGCACACCTGAGTCGTAATAAACGAGTGCACGCCGTTGTGTCTCAGCAAGCACTCTCTCTCCGTTTGTACTTCGCGAGCGCTCCTCGTCCCCACCCCGCTCGGAACCAGATCGCCAGCATCAGGATTTTACTAAGAGCACACCTGAGTCGTAATAAACGAGTGCACGCCGTTGTGTCTCAGCAAGCACTCTCTCTCCGTTTGTACTTCGCGAGCGCTCCCCGTCCCCACCCCGCTCGGAACCAGATCGCCAGCATCAGGATTTTACTAAGAGCACACCTGAGTCGTAATAAACGAGTGCACGCCGTTGTGTCTCAGCAAGCACTCTCTCTCCGTTTGTACTTCGCGAGCGCTCCTCGTCCCCACCCCGCTCGGAACCAGATCGCCAGCATCAGGATTTTACTAAGAGCACACCTGAGTCGTAATAAACGAGTGCACGCCGTTGTGTCTCAGCAAGCACTCTCTCTCCGTTTGTACTTCGCGAGCGCTCCCCGTCCCCACCCCGCTCGGAACCAGATCGCCAGCATCAGGATTTTACTAAGAGCACACCTGAGTCGTAATAAACGAGTGCACGCCGTTGTGTCTCAGCAAGCACTCTCTCTCCGTTTGTACTTCGCGAGCGCTCCTCGTCCCCACCCCGCTCGGAACCAGATCGCCAGCATCAGGATTTTACTAAGAGCACACCTGAGTCGTAATAAACGAGTGCACGCCGTTGTGTCTCAGCAAGCACTCTCTCTCCGTTTGTACTTCGCGAGCGCTCCCCGTCCCCACCTCGCTCGGAACCAGATCGCCAGCATCAGGATTTTACTAAGAGCACACCTGAGTCGTAATAAACGAGTGCACGCCGTTGTGTCTCAGCAAGCCCTCTCTCTCCGTTTGTACTTCGCGAGCGCTCCCCGTCCCCACCCCGCTCGGAACCAGATCGCCAGCATCAGGATTTTACTAAGAGCACACCTGAGTCGTAATAAACGAGTGCACGCCGTTGTGTCTCAGCAAGCACTCTCTCTCCGTTTGTACTTCGCGAGCGCTCCCCGTCCCCACCCCGCTCGGAACCAGATCGCCAGCATCAGGATTTTACTAAGAGCACACCTGAGTCGTAATAAACGAGTGCACGCCGTTGTGTCTCAGCAAGCACTCTCTCTCCGTTTGTACTTCGCGAGCGCTCCCCGTCCCCACCCCGCTCGGAACCAGATCGCCAGCATCAGGATTTTACTAAGAGCACACCTGAGTCGTAATAAACGAGTGCACGCCGTTGTGTCTCAGCAAGCACTCTCTCTCCGTTTGTACTTCGCGAGCGCTCCCCGTCCCCACCCCGCTCGGAACCAGATCGCCAGCATCAGGATTTTACTAAGAGCACACCTGAGTCGTAATAAACGAGTGCACGCCGTTGTGTCTCAGCAAGCACTCTCTCTCCGTTTGTACTTCGCGAGCGCTCCTCGTCCCCACCCCGCTCGGAACCAGATCGCCAGCATCAGGATTTTACTAAGAGCACACCTGAGTCGTAATAAACGAGTGCACGCCGTTGTGTCTCAGCAAGCACTCTCTCTCCGTTTGTACTTCGCGAGCGCTCCCCGTCCCCACCCCGCTCGGAACCAGATCGCCAGCATCAGGATTTTACTAAGAGCACACCTGAGTCGTAATAAACGAGTGCACGCCGTTGTGTCTCAGCAAGCACTCTCTCTCCGTTTGTACTTCGCGAGCGCTCCCCGTCCCCACCCCGCTCGGAACCAGATCGCCAGCATCAGGATTTTACTAAGAGCACACCTGAGTCGTAATAAACGAGTGCACGCCGTTGTGTCTCAGCAAGCACTCTCTCTCCGTTTGTACTTCGCGAGCGCTCCCCGTCCCCACCCCGCTCGGAACCAGATCGCCAGCATCAGGATTTTACTAAGAGCACACCTGAGTCGTAATAAACGAGTGCACGCCGTTGTGTCTCAGCAAGCACTCTCTCTCCGTTTGTACTTCGCGAGCGCTCCCCGTCCCCACCCCGCTCGGAACCAGATCGCCAGCATCAGGATTTTACTAAGAGCACACCTGAGTCGTAATAAACGAGTGCACGCCGTTGTGTCTCAGCAAGCACTCTCTCTCCGTTTGTACTTCGCGAGCGCTCCCCGTCCCCACCCCGCTCGGAACCAGATCGCCAGCATCAGGATTTTACTAAGAGCACACCTGAGTCGTAATAAACGAGTGCACGCCGTTGTGTCTCAGCAAGCACTCTCTCTCCGTTTGTACTTCGCGAGCGCTCCTCGTCCCCACCCCGCTCGGAACCAGATCGCCAGCATCAGGATTTTACTAAAGCACACCTGAGTCGTAATAAACGAGTGCACGCCGTTGTGTCTCAGCAAGCACTCTCTCTCCGTTTGTACTTCGCGAGCGCTCCCCGTCCCCACCCCGCTCGGAACCAGATCGCCAGCATCAGGATTTTACTAAGAGCACACCTGAGTCGTAATAAACGAGTGCACGCCGTTGTGTCTCAGCAAGCACTCTCTCTCCGTTTGTACTTCGCGAGCGCTCCCCGTCCCCACCCCGCTCGGAACCAGATCGCCAGCATCAGGATTTTACTAAGAGCACACCTGAGTCGTAATAAACGAGTGCACGCCGTTGTGTCTCAGCAAGCACTCTCTCTCCGTTTGTACTTCGCGAGCGCTCCCCGTCCCCACCCCGCTCGGAACCAGATCGCCAGCATCAGGATTTTACTAAGAGCACACCTGAGTCGTAATAAACGAGTGCACGCCGTTGTGTCTCAGCAAGCACTCTCTCTCCGTTTGTACTTCGCGAGCGCTCCCCGTCCCCACCCCGCTCGGAACCAGATCGCCAGCATCAGGATTTTACTAAGAGCACACCTGAGTCGTAATAAACGAGTGCACGCCGTTGTGTCTCAGCAAGCACTCTCTCTCCGTTTGTACTTCGCGAGCGCTCCTCGTCCCCACCCCGCTCGGAACCAGCCCAGGCAGCACAAGATATTGTGCCGACATTGGTCTCAGCATGGTTAAGGTGGCCCCATATGGGCCCAGCTTGACCAGTCTAGAGCCAGCATTCATGATGCCGTCACTAAACTGGCTACATGACGGCAACATTGGCCGTTTCTGCCAGCGTCCAACCAATATTGCGGCATCCCGGCTACATGACGGCAACATTGGCCGTTTCTGCCAGCTTACAAAAGATATTGCTCCATCCCGGCTACATGACGGCAACATTGGCCGTTTCTGCTAGCTTCCAAAAGATATTGCTGCATCCCGGCCACATGACGGCCACATGACGGCAACATTTGCTGTTTCTGCCAGCTTCCAAAATATATTGCTGAAAATATATGAAGTTCTATATCGGGCTCTGTTTTGCAACCACCGAATGACGGCACTGCACCAGCCAAGTCGCGGCAACATCGCCGGGATTCTTCTATATGTACTAGGAATATTTAGACACATAAGCATTTTTGCCTATAAAACCTTAACCATCGGACTTTAAAACCTGAAGTGATTGATGTTTCTTTCATCTTCGAGCGCTGCTTTTAGGCGTCCGTTTCTGGCTTGAGCGGCGTTGCCGTCGGCGTAACAGTAAAGCGTCGGCGTAACACATTTTCGTGACGCGCCACAAAAAAGCGTTACGCCGACGTGTTACGCGACGCGTCACGAAAAAGTGTTACGCGACGCCGACGCGTTACGCGACGCGTCACGAAAAAGTGTTAGGCGACGCCGACGCGTTACGCGACGCGTCACGAAAAAGTGTTACGCGACGCCGACGCGTCACGAAAAAGCGTTACGTGGAAACGTTACGCGACGCCGAGGCGTCACGAAAAAGCGTTACGCTGACGCCGAGGCGTCGTGGAACGCATCGTCATAACGTTTTTTTGGGACGCCTTGGCCTCGGCGTCGCGTAACGCTTTTTCGTAACACCTTGGCGTCGCGTAAGGCGTCCGCATAACGCTTTTTCGTGACGCGTTGGCGTGATGCTTCTTCGTGACGCCTCGGCGTCGCGTAACACGTTTTCGTGACGCGTCGGCGTAACGCTTGTTTGTGACACCTCGGCGTCGTGTAACGCGTCGGCATAACGCTTTTTCGTGATGCGTCGGCGTAGCGCTTTTTCGTGACACGTCAGCGTCGCGTAACGCTTTTTCGTCACGCCTTTGCGTCGCGTAACGAAAAAGCGTTACGCCGACGGCGACCGTAACGCTAGCCGTAACGCGTCGGCGTGACGCGTCGCCGTCGGCGTAACCGCGCGGTGCATTATGGGAAACGTGCCATAATGCACCAGGGTGCCGCGCGTGTTGCATTATGGGACGTCTCCCACAATGCACCAAGCGAGAGGGAGGAGGAGGAGAAGGGGGAGGAGGGAGGAGGAGGAGGGACAAGGATGAAAAAGAGGCAGGAGGAAGAGGGCTCCCCCCGCCTCCCCTCTACCTACGTCACTGGTGTATGAAAATCTCAAAATAACCCGCTGTTACTGTGCCCCGCAACTCGGTCAAAGCTTCAGACAAAAAAAAAAAAATAGAAATACAAATAATTTTTAAGCAAAACATAAAAACTCAAAACAAATATCCAATAATTAATTAAGATATTGCATATCCTCACATATAAAAAAAAATCAAGTTAAATTAAGATGTCGAACACCCTGTTCCTTTTTTTTCTTTTTTGCATTTAAGTTGACGTAGATTTCAGTCAGCAAACAAAGGTTATCATGGAACGTATAACAGGAGAAGAAGCTGGGACATTATGTCTGCTCGCCCAACAAATTGACTTCAAACTGCGTAGAGAACAAGATAACTCCAGTAATGGCTGGCCACGGTAGCGACACCGGCCACCGAAATATAAACTGCAGTAGAGTTGGGTCGAAACCGAAACTATATGCCGCAGTCGTATACTTGTCTGATCCAAAGCCACAGCCAATCCAAAGTCCAATCCAAAGCCACAAGCAGCTTCTGGAGTCTGGATTCTTTTCCGTCCCGTCCGTGCAGACAAAGGCCTGTTTGAACCTTCAACGTGCGTGGGTCAAATGATTGTTCAGGTAAGTTTTCTCGATTTCATATTCATAATGCATGCCCGAAGAGTATCATCTACATGAGCTGGATAATCTTCCGAGCACCGTAGCTTACGTTGCCACCGTAATTCGGATGATATTTAACTTTTTTCGACGCTTGAGCGGTCTCCGCGATTTCGTGTCGCGTCGCAGTTCTGAGTGATGCTGGCTGCCATCGGGAAACGATCGCTATCGCTTGTGGAGGCTGTTCGTTCAAGCCTTGCGTAAATGCTAGCCGCTATCTTGAGAATCCCGCGAATGTTCTGCGATACCGGAGCACTGCAGAGACGCTGATCAGATTGGTTCGAAAGTTCGCGTTGCTATCGGCGAGCCCTTCGGACACGCTGTAAGTGCCGGGCGCGCTAAACTGAGCTGTGCTGTCAAACGCTTGGATGCGGATCTTAGAACGAACGCCTTGAATGTGTTCGGGACGGCGACACGCGTGAAGAATTTGATGGTTTTTACTTTGACGTGTCGTCTCGTCCTTTCTCACGCTTGCGACAACGTATCTCGGTCAGCGCGCGCTGGCTTTTTGAGCTGCATCCAGCGGGATGGCGCGGTTGGGGTGCTGGCGTTTAGCGGGTTTCAGCGGGTTGTTAGGACACGCTCCAAGCTGGGCGTCGTCGTAGCGCTCGCGTACGGCGTGTGCCCCGCGCCGGCCTGCTCTGCGTGTCGTCGGTGTTCAGGCGCGCGGGCCTAGAGTTGCTTAAAAGTGTTGACAGGACCCTGTTAAGCTCGTCACTTCCGTTGTTTTCTCCCTTACGGGCCCTGCATATATGTCTAGCCTTGCGAGCCACCCAGAGTACTACTACTGTAGCTAATGAAGATTATTATTGTTTGCCTTAATGGCGTTTTAGTTTACCCCGGTCATATTTGTGACTTCTAGAACCCGGGGGTGCACACATACTTTACATGGCTGAGGAAAGAGGTTATATGTAAGCAGTGATAGAGTGCAGGCGAGCTGGTAATTAATCGACATCTTGTAAACCCTGAGATGTTTGTTCGTTTTTTTAGCGTTCCCCATATCAGTGTTTACAAGATATAGGTTATATGATTTGACTAAAATGCTCAAGAAAGTTGCAGTGTAAAAATTGCACACCTGGCAGGTGCTCTCGCTTGTACAGTGGACAGCTCGCAATGAAAACTCACACGGCTGTCCCTTTCCGCACTCCGAAAACGGAAGCTTTACCATGGTCAGCACATTAACATTCTGTGGTGCTTAGCTGGTGAAGGCAGTAATGTAGGAAGGGGGAGGGGGGCGGCAAGCAAACAATTTTCAAGATGCAATTGCTCCCCCCCCCCCCCCCCCCCCCACCCCACGCAGACACACACAGATGTTCAAAACTTCCGCTGCTGCCACACCCAAAACTACTATGACATCTATTGTCTACCTACAAACGTGCACATCATTCTATTAAAAAAAAAAAAAAAATCTACAGTAACAAATGGCCGGGGACCAGTGGCGTACCACCTTGTTTTTGAGTGAGGGCAAACTACACTCCCCCCCCCCCCCCCCCGAGCCGGGGGGGCGGTGCCCTTGGTATCCCTTCAGCGCCGCCGGCCAGTGTTTGCCCTGCCCAGTGGCAGCTGTTTAAGGGGGGGGGGGTCTGCAAAACACATTCCTTGCCCCTCACCCCCCTCCCCCCCCCCCCGGTTGGTACGCCCATGCCAGGGACTTTTCAAGCATTCCCTCATCTAGTAGTGTTGAAAATGTTCAGAAGACGTGTATAGTCTTGTGCTGAGGTCATGGGGGCAGTGGCATAGGAAAGGGGGGTTCTTTTTTTTAATAATATTGTTTACTGGAAATGACTTATTTTCCTGCAGTTCCCCCCCCCCCCCCCCCCCTTTTCCTATGCCACTGCCCCCATCACCTAAGCACAAGACAATACACGTCAGAAATTGCACGCTGCTCTAGTTCCTTTTTTTTCTTTCGTCAATAAAAATATTTAACCCTACAAAAAAAAAAAAATCATCGCCAGAACTTTTTTTCTTTTCTTTCCTTTTTTTTTGGGGGGGGGGGGGGTGGGGTGATGTGTTTGGGATTCTCTAAGTTTTGGAGTGGGTACAAGATACCCACCCCTTTCCCCTAACCCCTCCCTCCCCCTGCGACAAACACATACACATACATTGATCGCCTGTGTCCGATCCCTGTGGCGTGAGTACCGTTTAATCTGAAGCGCACCACCCAATGCTAATTAATTTTGTTTTAATAGAAGCAAAAACATTTGCTTGAAATTATTATAATTCTGAAACCAGAACCACCAATATTTTTATAAACTCGTCGAGGCTCAAAGCCAGTGTCATTCACAACACAAAGTTGAGAACTTCTAAACCACTCTGTTCATAGCGCGACAAAATCGCACCACACGCAAAGTGCAGATAAATAAAATCCAACGCACTCAACGGCTTCGTGCCAACGCCTTCGTACCCTAATCTCCTAGTACCCCCGTACAGCGTCCGCGCCTCCGCACGCAATCCGCACTCACACTAGAGTCTACTCACACACTTTGAGTGCGGATAAGAATCCAACACAATCCGCACTCTGAGTGCGGTTAAGAATCCAAGATTATTCACACTCGGAGTGCGGATTAGAATCCACCACTATCCACACTCGGTGTGCGAATAGGGACAGCCACAAGCCAACTCCCACACCTGCCAGGCGCTCTCGCTTGCACAGTGGAGACACATTCAAATCAAGGAGATCCAGCTTTAAATGCGAAGGCTTCCTACTTCAACTTTTAAATACTTGAGGTTCTGTTAAAGTTGAAGGGAGTCTGTTAAAGCATTTTTGGAACCATGTCCGAAACCCAGTGCTGGGTACAATTTTAGTCTAAAAGGATGGTCCACACTGTTGCTACCCGCTAGGACTGAGTCTGACAAAACCAGTCTTCAAGTCTCTTGTGACAGCTTATGATCGTGCTGCGCAGCAGCAATGTTATTTGTAAGCAACTTAAAACCCTGTAATGTTCAACTTGGTCATAGACGGTTGCAACAGTGTGAACCAGCTTTAACACCTTAGGTGAATGTAATCAGCAGTAGCTTCAGGATAAACTTGCGCATTGTACTACCCCAAAGTATTCTGACCACATCTCCGGTGTTGATTCTTGATTTCTATCCCAGCACTACAGAGCACGTCAAAAGGCTTGTTGATTGCTGTGCATGTGCCTATCAAGCGAGCTGTGCTATTTTGAGGTGGTGTTTAATTTGTTTTGAAGTTCCCGGGATCTTTTAAGGCACCGCTAGGTATCTACGCTCCACATGCACACTGTTCTTAATACAATTACTTCATGCAGAAGTTAATTTTTCTTATTTGGTTGAGTTTAATGGTGGTGTCGTCATGGTCTTTGCACTGTCGACGACAAGAGAAGCGTCATGTTGCACTTGTTCTTTTGTTGATCCGTGAAGCAAGTTCTGGTTTCTTTTTTGTTCCAGAATGTCAGTCTGAGTCTTATTCATGATGTTGCAGGAAGTCTGTATGATGACGAAAAAACTGCAGGTGACTAGAAGCTGCCGATGAGCTGCCAGTCCGGATGGCAGCTATCAACACGGCAAGGACCTGCAGGCGCATCAGCTCTCCTCCCGTTCCTCTACTGCCATTGGAGACAGGATGCTTTGTAAAAGGTGAAACAGGGCCCTTGCACTGCTTCCACAGCGCCCTGCTGGATTTATCTCACATTTTGATTTTCAAAACAAACAACATTACAAACTGTAAAATACCGAACAAACGCCCACTCTAAATTGGAGATAATCATAGAGAGCTGGGGGTTGAGCACTTGGTAGGTACGATAGTTGTTAAGTGTTCATGGTGCCTTGCTTGGTCTGTGCACGGAATTACGAATAGCTGCATTTGCGGAGCTAGTTAATTATGCAAACAAAAAAACAAAGCGTGACTTTTTTTATTTTTTGACAAAGAAGCATTCTGAAAAGTGTTTGATTAGCATTGGCTGTTACTAAAGCCTTCAATTTACTCTTCCGAGTTAGAACAAAAGAGCAACCCATCTTTTCTTGTACACCACTTTCTGTGGCAATAAAAAGAAAGCTAGGGGGGGGGGGGGGGGAAGGCAGGTGCAAATGGCTCTGTGTTAGCGCACCACATAGTTCTGAACTTCTTTTGGTCTCGGTTTGAGTTTGGGTTTTGGCATGTCAACCACGCAGTTGCTAGAGTGCATCTCTTTTGTACGAGGGTTGCAGTTGAGGGAGTTGGAATTGGGATTGCCGAGCATGGCAGGCACATTCACATCTCTTTACTTTCGGGTTACCCTGCACTGCCCGAAGGCATTATTGCAGGGGGGGTGAGGGGAGGGGGAGGTATGTAGTCAGTCGTGAAGGTAGAAATACGCCCGTGCATATGTACCAAAAAAACAAAAAAAACAAGAAATGCAGGCACACAGGTAAACACATTCAAAAACAAAAGAGAGCCCAGAATAAGATAAAAGCCACATTGGTTGCTCACATTCTATAGTCAGTGACAGGTCAATAAGGAAGTGGAAGCTGCTCCCACCTTTTTCCACTATAGCAGACTGAACCCTGGAGAGGAGGCGCCCTCCTTTCCAGCGTTTGCTCTGCTAAAGGGGAAAGAGGTGGGAGGAGCTTTCACTTCATTCTTGACCTGTCACCGACTATAGGTACCTGCCAACGTTCCATGTTTTTGGACGTAAGCCAACACTTCGACCAGTAGGATGAATTGGGCTGTTGTATATTGGGTGTATCAAGGAGCGGCCAGGCTCTTTAAATCGACTGCAAAATTCGGTTTCTTAACCTATCACACTACGACTTTGTGCAGCGTTGCTCAGGGATGGTGCAGTTTTTTTGTAAAATTTGCAAAGAGCGAACTTACCTGAGGAAAAGAGTAAAGAAAGAAAAAGGCTTAGCTCCTATGGAAATGCGACGAAGCCAAAGGTCTTCAAACAATATGGCGCCGTTTCACTAGAGAGACAAAAGATGGCACAAGGGGTCACGACGCCAACTGCGCCAACGTACGAGCATACGGCGCCGAAAGCTGGCGTCTTTAGCAGACAATCTTTTCGACTCAAAAGTGGCACGAGCTTTTCTGATATCAGTTGCCAATGCATTATTTTATCATCCTTACTGATAAAACATATTGAATGGACACATAATCGATTAGAAAAGTGGTTTGTTGGGATATTTTGACTGTTTTTTTTGGAGTATTGATGTCATCTGCTTTGCAGTTCCTTGTTGTTACCGCTCCTGTTTTTGTTTCTGCGACTGTCGCCGCCTGCGGAATGCACTCTACTTTTGAGTTGAAAAGATTGTCTGCTAAAGACGCCAGCTTTCGGTTCCGTATGCTCGTTCGTTGGCGCAGTTGGCATTGTGGCCGCTTGCGCCATCTCTTGTCTCCCGTGCGAAATGGTGCCGTATTGTTTGAAAACCTTTGCCTTCGCCGCATTTCCATAGGAGCTAAGCCTTTTTCTTTCTTTACTCTTTCCTCAGGTAAGTTTGCTCTTTGCAAATTTTACAAAAAAGTGCACCATCTGTGGGCAACGCTGCACAAGTCATAGCGCGATAGGTTAAGAAACCGAATTTTCCGGTCAATTTAAAGAGCCTGGCGACTCCTTGATACACCCAGTAGTTACCACATATGTGTGCAGGTCACTCATGCAGTTGTTAATGACCATTGGTACCCAACTCAACCTCGTGCAGGGTGTCTATGAACTGGAAAAATGGTAATGTTGAGGAAGTTGACGATTGCAAAAGCCTGAAGATTTCCACCCTAATCACCATCGATCAAAGATATTCAGCCTTCCTTTGTCTGAATGTCGGCAAAAGACACGTGTGGTGTGACACATCAACCTTCCTACTCAGGAACTCAGCCAGCTTGCCAATGTAAATCTCTGCTTGGAAACTATAGTCTTGGGAGAATCCAGAGATACAATTTATCTCGAAATGTATGAAAAACACAAACTTCTGTACTCTAAATGAAGTGCTGCTGCTTATGGCAGATTTGTGGAATGGTTTCATTGTGCGACAGGTTGTCTCTAGAGCTACCCATTTGCTCCTGAATGGACTTTCCATGGGATTTTTTTACAGGCTGTGAACATCATGGCTATTAAGGTAGTTTCTGCTGCGGGGAAGAGAATATCCCTCAGCTTGACAGTCCACAGAAGCTTTAGCAGCCAGGATTTTGGATGTTGCGAGAGCAATGACGTTTGCCTTTAGCTCATATTTTTTGCCAGAAGTTGTACAACCAACCGCCAGGGTTGTCTCATCCGACAGCAGGACATGCCGGCTACTGTGGCGTCATTTAATGCTGTCGCTTAGAGACCACCTTTAATGAGTGGGTGGTATAGAATGCTAGAACGCAGAGGTGCATTCCAGACACCATGCAGTAGCATCTGCTGCTGGGATGTTCTGATTGGTTCTCATTGCAGTCATTACAATTTTCAGATTGTTTCTTTTCTTCAGTGGGAGCTCAGGAAGGTGGCACTGTGCACAGAGGGACAGAGTGGCTGACACTGAGCTGCCCAAGACAACCTGCTGGCTCTCGTGACCATCTCCGAATGCCTCTGGATGGGCTAATTGACAGGCGTGCCTGGACATTTATAAACGGTAAACACAATCTAGACTACATTTGAATTACGCCTTGGTCTAACTGCTGTTGCCAGGATACCGTGTTTGGCTGCTAGAATTGAACTGGATATGCTAAGTGGCACATGTTGCCAAGTAAGGACACGCTGGGACGCTTATCCACAAACTGCGTTTCCCAGTCCATGAGCCACCAAAGACCCAGCCGAAGAGATCCCGAGTCAAGTCAAAGTTTTCTGTTAATCTTGCTAGTAGCAGCGTCATAGTCGTTAATTAAAATGTCGGTGTTGCCCCGCTCATTGCGGCAAACCGAACAAAGCAGAGCGAAAGAACGGAGATAAAGACTACCAAAAGTGACGTCATTAGCAGGGTCCGACAACCCTTGCTTGCCAATAGGCTGACTTTGGGATGCCAACAATGATGTCACGAAGCTTTGGACAGGTTACAAGTGGAAGAAAGGCTCAGAGCATGCCCTGCTATAATTGCTGCACATATTCAAAATAAATGCAGTTTACGTTGACTTTTGCCCAAGTTTAGTGCAATTACTGAATTAACGAGCCAAAATGCTATGTAAGTCTGCTCCTAACTCAGATTTCTTACAAAGTGCTTCAAGCTCCCTTTAATGCTAGTTTGACTTATTTGCACAAGCCTGTGCCAGTGCACAAACTAGAACCTATACATTGCTGTACTATTTTACATTTAATGCACTGCCAAAGGAAAAGGTTCAGATTCCATTAAGCCCAAGAAGCTAAGCCATTAATTTGAATGTGACATACAGTACACTCTCATTATTTCAAACTCCAGGAAGCCACGAATTTTGCATGAATTATCAAAAGCTCAAATTATCAGAAGTTCATCTAAATATGTTGCAAGATAAATTATGATTTTCTATATGGATGGCTACACATAGAAAGCAGATATTTCATGATTTCCTCTGCACAGGCCCATTAATCATAAGCTGGTATGCCATTCATGAAACATTGGTAAAATTTATGACACAAGTTTATTCGACCCTCAAAAATGTTGTTTATCAGGGACTGTTTAGACAGCACATCACACCTCAAAACAAAATTAAGTTTGTTCAACCAGAAAAAAAGTTGTCTATTAGGTACTGTTAAGCAGGGACCCATGAGTAATGGAAACGGGCATTGTGCTGCAGTTTCTATAGCAACTTGCGTGAACACTGCGATATAAAGCCATGCCGCCACATCACAGCATCCTTGCAAATTGATATGGAAACTGCCGCGCGGCGCCCGTTTTTGCCGCTCATGCGTCCTCTGCTTCAGAGACTTATATAGAGATAGTTTAACCATTCATTTGGATGTATAGAAGGCAAATGAGGAGGCGCCTTTCGCTTAAGGTGGGCTGGGCGTGTTCCAGAGCATTTTCACAAATTTGTATGTGGCCAACCAGCAGCCGTGCATAATATCCTGGCAGTGGTTGTGAGAAACAGAATTAATGAGCTCGTCAGAGTAACTCTCGGTGACTGGGGTGCAGTGATGTTTTGATCGTGGTCATGCAAAGTCATGGTGGAAGATATAGAAAATATAAAAAACGTGCGCAACCAGCTGAACGATTGACGTAATCCGTACACCAGGCGTCGAAGCGGTCAGACTCCATTTGAGCAAAACAGAAATCAAGCGGAACATTAGTCTCCTACATCTACTTGCATAACCAGAATCGAAACAATGCGTGCACCATATTTTCAACCATGGAGAGTTACTACAATTAACTCTTAGGCACTTATCAAAACCGTTTCTCACTACCGTAGCTAGGGGATTATTTTCAGCTTCTGGTTGGCCACGAGAGATTGTCGAACCCTCTATCTGCGTCTGATGCAGGCCTTGGCTCTGCTTGCTCCTTTCATATACCAAGATCTATATGTACGGCTCTGCTCTGCTTTAGCCCTGTAGAGTGTGCTTTTTACTGAGCACCAGTGCACCGCAGGAAAACAAAGCCTGTGAAAGCAAGCTTCACAGGTGCTGCTTCTCCGCAGTGCACCGCTGCTCGGAAAGAAGTGCACTCAATGGGGCCGCGAGAACAAAAAGTATGGATTACACGAAAACGTCGTTCAAATTAAGCGGCTTATGAATACATTGAAAACGTAGTGGGACAGCCCAAGTTTTGAAATTTGTTTGACTTAACCAGAGGTATTATATCTCCGAGTTTGAATTATCGCGAGCCTACTGTATACTCTAAAGGAGATATGGCTCACTTGATTGTGCTTAATATCACTGAATGGTTATGCAAATTTTAATTTGCTAGTTTTATTTCTCAAGCACATGTTGTGTTGGGTATTCAAATCAATGCAAATTTTTACTTTGGTTCAATTTATGGGAGGTTTGTTTTAGATATCATGTGCAGTAGAAAGGTGGGGAGCTGGGCTAGGTAGTAAACACGTTGCTTGCTGATGTTAACCATGTATGTCATATACAGCTTGTTGTGATTGTGTATTGATTTCGAATCCTCTTCTGCTCTTTATTTCAGGCTGCTCTTATATGCACCATGAAGATATCGAAGAGGTCTCCAATTGAAGGACAACTATAAGCACAAACATGGAGGGGCATCTAGATGGCAAGCGCAAGGACAACTGTAATGTAAAATTTCTCCCAACTTAAAGCAAGGCATGCCTTCTTCCAATAAAGGCATTGTGGCAAAACTTCTTAATTGGTTCAGCTGTCATCTCTACGAACAGCTGATCTCACACAAACAAAATCCTGGCAATGAGTAGTAGAGGTTGTGTGCTCTTTTTCTTCAGTAGTGTTGACGATTGGGCTAGTTGGTCATTCATATTAGCGGAAAACAAACAGTGCAAGGACAAGGACAGAGTAGAAGGCGGCAGACAGACACAGCGCTGTGTCTGTCTACCGCCTTCTACTCTGTCCTTTTCCTTGCGCTGTTTGTTTTCCTCTTTTTCTTGTTGAACTCTTGTTGTTTTGTGTAAGGATAAAAAATTATACAAGTTAGTATATTGAATGACAGAGCCTATGAACTCTCCATACCAATCCATACCTCAAAAGTTTCATGTGACTTCGGCTTGCTTGAGCATGGAAGCTGTTTGCACTATATAACGGAGCACTAGACCTTTCTGTCTTCTTGAAGCCCGTAGCTACGAGCCATCCGCACCAATCCTGCACCTCCGATATGTCAGGAGGCACCCCTGGGAAAGGTATAGCCCTCCCAGGGGAGTCGCCTGATGTGTCGGAGGTGCGGGTGGTACGGATGGCTCGTAACTTTGGCCTTATCTAAGGCCGAAAGGTATAGTGCTTCATTATTTAGTGCCGACAGCTTTCATAATTCCTACGGATAGGCCTCCGTAGTGAGCTACAGACATTTTGGCATTTTACGAAATTATGTGCCTTGTTTTTAACAGACTGTTTGGTTTCTAGATTACGGGAAACCATGCTGGCACTATGGAACCCGCAACTTTTACCCATAAAATTGAGTGACATTTTTTTGCAGTGCTGCCATACCCCTTGTCCAAGTCGAAGATGGTCAGACATCTTCAATTCCCACTAAAATGAAGCATCCGTTTTCATTGAAAATAAAGAGTTTCACATTTGATGTCGGAGTACGTCATTCGCATTCTTACGTATTTCAAGAAGACATTTAAATCCCAAAATGGTTCAACGATAACGGCCACAAAACATTTTGAAAGACGGCTGTAAAACGGTTTCGAAAGACGGCCAAAAAACGGTTGACGACATCGGTCACAAAACGGTTGGCGATATCGGTCTCAAAACTTTCCCCGTGATCGGTTCAAGTTATTGGACCGATCTGGAGCCGGGGTGCAAATCATTATTGGACCGTCATTTCCTAAAACTTTGACCGATATTTGTCCGTTATTGGTCCAATATTTTTGTGCTGCCTGGGAGATCGCCAGCATCAGGATTTTACTAAGAGCACACCTGAGTCGTAATAAACGAGTGCACGCCGTTGTGTCTCAGCAAGCACTCTCTCTCCGTTTGTACTTCGCGAGCGCTCCCCGTCCCCACCCCGCTCGGAACCAGATCGCCAGCATCAGGATTTTACTAAGAGCACACCTGAGTCGTAATAAACGAGTGCACGCCGTTGTGTCTCAGCAAGCACTCTCTCTCCGTTTGTACTTCGCGAGCGCTCCCCGTCCCCACCCCGCTCGGAACCAGATCGCCAGCATCAGGATTTTACTAAGAGCACACCTGAGTCGTAATAAACGAGTGCACGCCGTTGTGTCTCAGCAAGCACTCTCTCTCCGTTTGTACTTCGCGAGCGCTCCCCGTCCCCACCCCGCTCGGAACCAGATCGCCAGCATCAGGATTTTACTAAGAGCACACCTGAGTCGTAATAAACGAGTGCACGCCGTTGTGTCTCAGCAAGCACTCTCTCTCCGTTTGTACTTCGCGAGCGCTCCCCGTCCCCACCCCGCTCGGAACCAGATCGCCAGCATCAGGATTTTACTAAGAGCACACCTGAGTCGTAATAAACGAGTGCACGCCGTTGTGTCTCAGCAAGCACTCTCTCTCCGTTTGTGCTTCGCGAGCGCTCCCCGTCCCCACCCCGCTCGGAACCAGATCGCCAGCATCAGGATTTTACTAAGAGCACACCTGAGTCGTAATAAACGAGTGCACGCCGTTGTGTCTCAGCAAGCACTCTCTCTCCGTTTGTACTTCGCGAGCGCTCCTCGTCCCCACCCCGCTCGGAACCAGATCGCCAGCATCAGGATTTTACTAAGAGCACACCTGAGTCGTAATAAACGAGTGCACGCCGTTGTGTCTCAGCAAGCACTCTCTCTCCGTTTGTACTTCGCGAGCGCTCCCCGTCCCCACCCCGCTCGGAACCAGATCGCCAGCATCAGGATTTTACTAAGAGCACACCTGAGTCGTAATAAACGAGTGCACGCCGTTGTGTCTCAGCAAGCACTCTCTCTCCGTTTATACTTCGCGAGCGCTCCCCGTCCCCACCCCGCTCGGAACCAGATCGCCAGCATCAGGATTTTACTAAGAGCACACCTGAGTCGTAATAAACGAGTGCACGCCGTTGTGTCTCAGCAAGCACTCTCTCTCCGTTTGTACTTCGCGAGCGCTCCCCGTCCCCACCCCGCTCGGAACCAGATCGCCAGCGTCAGGATTTTACTAAGAGCACACCTGAGTCGTAATAAACGAGTGCACGCCGTTGTGTCTCAGCAAGCACTCTCTCTCCGTTTGTACTTCGCGAGCGCTCCCCGTCCCCACCCCGCTCGGAACCAGATCGCCAGCATCAGGATTTTACTAAGAGCACACCTGAGTCGTAATAAACGAGTGCACGCCGTTGTGTCTCAGCAAGCACTCTCTCTCCGTTTGTACTTCGCGAGCGCTCCTCGTCCCCAACCCGCTCGGAACCAGATCGCCAGCATCAGGATTTTACTAAGAGCACACCTGAGTCGTAATAAACGAGTGCACGCCGTTGTGTCTCAGCAAGCACTCTCTCTCCGTTTGTACTTCGCGAGCGCTCCCCGTCCCCACCCCGCTCGGAACCAGATCGCCAGCATCAGGATTTTACTAAGAGCACACCTGAGTCGTAATAAACGAGTGCACGCCGTTGTGTCTCAGCAAGCACTCTCTCTCCGTTTGTACTTCGCGAGCGCTCCCCGTCCCCACCCCGCTCGGAACCAGATCGCCAGCATCAGGATTTTACTAAGAGCACACCTGAGTCGTAATAAACGAGTGCACGCCGTTGTGTCTCAGCAAGCACTCTCTCTCCGTTTGTACTTCGCGAGCGCTCCCCGTCCCCACCCCGCTCGGAACCAGATCGCCAGCATCAGGATTTTACTAAGAGCACACCTGAGTCGTAATAAACGAGTGCACGCCGTTGTGTCTCAGCAAGCACTCTCTCTCCGTTTGTACTTCGCGAGCGCTCCCCGTCCCCACCCCGCTCGGAACCAGATCGCCAGCATCAGGATTTTACTAAGAGCACACCTGAGTCGTAAAAACGAGTGCACGCCGTTGTGTCTCAGCAAGCACTCTCTCTCCGTTTGTACTTCGCGAGCGCTCCCCGTCCCCACCCCGCTCGGAACCAGATCGCCAGCATCAGGATTTTACTAAGAGCACACCTGAGTCGTAATAAACGAGTGCACGCCGTTGTGTCTCAGCAAGCACTCTCTCTCCGTTTGTACTTCGCGAGCGCTCCTCGTCCCCACCCCGCTCGGAACCAGATCGCCAGCATCAGGATTTTACTAAGAGCACACCTGAGTCGTAATAAACGAGTGCACGCCGTTGTGTCTCAGCAAGCACTCTCTCTCCGTTTGTACTTCGCGAGCGCTCCCCGTCCCCACCCCGCTCGGAACCAGATCGCCAGCATCAGGATTTTACTAAGAGCACACCTGAGTCGTAATAAACGAGTGCACGCCGTTGTGTCTCAGCAAGCACTCTCTCTCCGTTTGTACTTCGCGAGCGCTCCCCGTCCCCACCCCGCTCGGAACCAGATCGCCAGCATCAGGATTTTACTAAGAGCACACCTGAGTCGTAATAAACGAGTGCACGCCGTTGTGTCTCAGCAAGCACTCTCTCTCCGTTTGTACTTCGCGAGCGCTCCCCGTCCCCACCCCGCTCGGAACCAGATCGCCAGCATCAGGATTTTACTAAGAGCACACCTGAGTCGTAATAAACGAGTGCACGCCGTTGTGTCTCAGCAAGCACTCTCTCTCCGTTTGTACTTCGCGAGCGCTCCCCGTCCCCACCCCGCTCGGAACCAGATCGCCAGCATCAGGATTTTACTAAGAGCACACCTGAGTCGTAATAAACGAGTGCACGCCGTTGTGTCTCAGCAAGCACTCTCTCTCCGTTTGTACTTCGCGAGCGCTCCCCGTCCCCACCCCGCTCGGAACCAGATCGCCAGCATCAGGATTTTACTAAGAGCACACCTGAGTCGTAATAAACGAGTGCACGCCGTTGTGTCTCAGCAAGCACTCTCTCTCCGTTTGTACTTCGCGAGCGCTCCTCGTCCCCACCCCGCTCGGAACCAGATCGCCAGCATCAGGATTTTACTAAGAGCACACCTGAGTCGTAATAAACGAGTGCACGCCGTTGTGTCTCAGCAAGCACTCTCTCTCCGTTTGTACTTCGCGAGCGCTCCCCGTCCCCACCCCGCTCGGAACCAGATCGCCAGCATCAGGATTTTACTAAGAGCACACCTGAGTCGTAATAAACGAGTGCACGCCGTTGTGTCTCAGCAAGCACTCTCTCTCCGTTTGTACTTCGCGAGCGCTCCCCGTCCCCACCCCGCTCGGAACCAGATCGCCAGCATCAGGATTTTACTAAGAGCACACCTGAGTCGTAATAAACGAGTGCACGCCGTTGTGTCTCAGCAAGCACTCTCTCTCCGTTTGTACTTCGCGAGCGCTCCCCGTCCCCACCCCGCTCGGAACCAGATCGCCAGCATCAGGATTTTACTAAGAGCACACCTGAGTCGTAATAAACGAGTGCACGCCGTTGTGTCTCAGCAAGCACTCTCTCTCCGTTTGTACTTCGCGAGCGCTCCCCGTCCCCACCCCGCTCGGAACCAGATCGCCAGCATCAGGATTTTACTAAGAG